AAAAAAAAAAAAGCAAACAAATAGCAGCAGCAGGGGAGAAGTAGGAGGAGGGCGGGCAATCGTCGTAGCGGGGATCAGCACCGCAGTTCCGCCGGACAGGGCATGATGGTGAATCCTGTGTCGAACGAGGGGGGGGAGGAGGGGGAGGAGGAGGAGGAGGAGGAGGGAGAGAAAAAGGGAAACGACGACGTGAGAGAAGACGAGCAAACAGAGGACAACGAGATCAAAGAGAATAATGAGAATAAACAGACAAAGAGTACTAGTCAAGGCAAGAGAAGACGAGGGGAGCAGGAATAAGTGGCGTTGGTGAGAAAGCAGAGGAGGACGACGAGGAGGAGGAGGACCAAGAGAAGAAAGAGGTAGTAGGTTGGAGATGTCGAAGAGGGCAACAAAGACTAGCAAAGGTGCACTCACATGTCGCTGCAACGCCTTGTCCTCTCTCTCTCTCTCTCTCTCTCTCTCTCTCTCTCTCTCTCTCTCTCTCTCTCTCTCACACACACAAAGGTGCACTCAGATTCAGCTGCAACGCCTTGTCGACTGACTCTCTCTCTCTCTCTCTCAAAGGTGCACTCAGATTCAGCCGCAACGCCTTGTCGACACTCTCTCTCTCTCTCTCTCTCTCTCTCTCTCTCTCTCTCTCTCTCTCTCTCTCTCTCTCTCTCTCTCTCTCCACACACACACACACACACATACACACGCACACACACACACACACACACAAAACCACACATACGCACCTCAACCACACGCAGACGTAAGCCACGTTGAGGCACTACGCGAAGGTGGAGGCGGCAGGAGCTCCTTCGGAACGATGCCCTTGGAAGTTTCGAATGCGCTCGGATGTTCGAAATACGGGAACCGCGTTCGAAAGATTGTAGTGCGGAACGCGGGAGCAACCTGGGAAAGGCCGGCGGGGCAGTACCGCAGTTGGGCAGTAGTGCAGCAGGGCAGCAGAGGAAGTCGGCTACTTTCCAATTTCCAAAAAGCGGCCTTCGACGATACCCGCTGCCTGGGCAGAAACAAGGGCCTCGCTGCACTACTCTTGAATTGAAATGCACAAAAGACAAAAATATTAGGCGTGCATCTTTCCATATTCTAGCGGAAGATTCACTCTCGTTTTGCACATTTCGAGAGTAGTGCGGCGAGGCCCTACCTACCGTCGACCAACTTACCAAGCCCATGTGGCTGAACGACACACATGTAACTGTCCAATAGACAGGTCATGTGTTCGAATCCCGCCAGAACCAGACGCAGGGAAAAAATTAATAGTAAGAAACAAAAAGAAGGAACTGCCGTCTCTGCAATCAGCCCCGCTTGGCCTGCAAAGGGGGCGTGTGGTGCCCGGGCGCGAGCTCCCACTACTGTAGCGAAGTGGATTGAATTATGCGGCCGAATCTGGACCTGTCTTGCGTAGAGATCCAGAAAAGGAGTTCAATCGCCATTCTGCACCTCTCAACAAACGCGCCCACATTCGCGCGTGTAATCAAATGCTCTGTCCCAGGGGGACCTCGCCCCGGAACGCTCCGAAAAGCTCGTGTTGTATCTTTTTTTTTTTTTTTTTTTTTTTTTGCCGCCAAACACTGGTTTGTCATTAGCTAAGTCGAATGAGGCCGGAGTGGTAACCAAGTACTGAGGCCAAGTCCCACTAGCAGCGTTGAGCTACCTCAACGCCTGAATCTGGACGCTTTTTTGGGAGATGTGCAGAAATGGTGTTGAGTCTCCTGAACTGCACGTCTCCACAAACACGGGCAGATTCAGGCGTTGAGGTAGCTCAACGCTGCTAGTGGGACTTGGCCCCTGGGACCTCTACCCAGCTAAGGTGTAGGTGTTGAGCAGCTATTCAGAAGCAGAAATGGCCGAATAGGCATCCATCCCTGGTCTTCAACTTCTCCATGAAAGGGAGGGGGGTTGAGTCCCTTTCCTGGCGCCACCCAGGAAGCCAGATTCGCCGCACCCCGCCCCCCCCGAACCTCTTATCTCAATCACTTTTCTAGTACGCCCAGGGCAATCAATGCTGGCAGGCGAAGGCCACGTTTACAATCTGTAATCTCTCAGGTGCAAATTTGGCGCAATCATGGGTTTTTTTTTTTTTTTTTTTTTTTTGTGGAAGAATGCAACTTTCATTAAATTAAATACTGATGGAAAAAGAGGCCGGGAATCCTCACTAGTTTTGGCTGAAGGATAAGTGAGCTATCGACATATCTTAGTCCAGCCATCCTTTTACTGTGCTTCAAGGTAATTTTTTTAGGAGTTTAAGTTTGCAGAATTTAGTGGTCTTGGGACGCTGGACCCGGTTTCCAGCAGGATACCTTTTGGCTACACCGGGGGCCAAGTCCCACTTACGGTGATCCTTGATTTCTGGTCGTTGATCTTCCAAATCTGTGGTCAGAAATCAACCATTCGGGTAAGTGGGACTTGGCCCCGGGTAGAATTGTGAGGTCCCCGGCCTTGACCACTTTTTCGAAATATAAAGGAACAACTTCTCAAAAAAAAAAAAAAAAAAAAAAAAAAAAAAAAAAAAAAAAAAAAAAAAAAAAAAAAAAAAAAAAAGAGGCCGGGAATCCTCACAAACAACCCGGAAAAGACTGGGGCCATTACCCAGATTAGGCTTTGCTGGAAACGGGGTCCAGCGTCCCTCAACTCCCATCTCCTAATCCTTCCAAAAAGTAAAAACTAGAAAAAGCCTAGAATCAGATGTCTCCTTCTAGAGATTTCCAAAAAAAAAGTACTCCAAAAAAAAAAAAAAAAAAAAAAAAAGTACTCCTATTGAATAGAACCAGGTCTCTTGAAGGACTGTCCCATTAGGTCGTTGTCTGATCCCGGGCGGACATCTTCGTTCAAGGGGGTTTCAGCCACTTGGCAATCCTCATCTTACCTTCTGAGCAAATTGATTCCCACGGGGATTCCCCAATTGCAGCGTGCGCATGTGGTGGAAATTTCCATTCCTCTGTTGGCCAGCCAGTGAGAGATAGGCACTACTTGTAGGGCTTGTTGCATCCACAGTAATGACGCTGACCTCTGAGACGGAATACGTTGGAGCGCTCGCCAGGTAGGTTGGATAGCTTCTTGTCCCTTTTGTTTCGCAAAACGGGTAGAGGCCAAGCTTGTAGGTGTTCGAGTAGCTCGGGCCTGCAGATAGCTCGTGCCGGTCTTTGCCTTGTAGCACATTAAACCACCAGTACTTGGCCCAGCTATCGCAGCCGAGCCTGGAAGTGCCCTGCGCGCCGTTTCCCGCCGAAGCGCCAATTCGATTTTGGTTTTCGGATCCGGTTGCCCGAAGCGCGAACTTCGCGTAGCGTTAATGCTAAGGCCCGCGGCCTATATATAGGCCAAGTACTGGTGGTTTAAGGCAGTCTCCTTCGGGCGTCCAGAACCAGGGGCAAGGTCCCACTTGCGCAAATTAGGAGATCTCGGCCGTTGATCTTTGCTATCTACGGTCAGTATCTCATAATTCGTGCAAGTGGGACCTAGCCCCAGGTCTTTCTTCTTGCCAACCATTGGCAAGCAGCAGGGGCTCTATGCGGAATCGCTCTGCATTGCCAAGGAGGGACACCTTCTTGTTGTCCACCTGGACTCTGACTTCCTCCAGGCCTAAAAAAAAAAAAAAAAAAAAAAAAAAAAAAAAAACAAACAAACAAACAAACAAACAAACAAAGGCCTATGGTTTCGCTCACCGTTTTTTCCTGAATCTTGAGCAGAGGGCCTTCCTGGAGTCTGACATTCCCAGGCTCAATCATGTTTCTAGGATGCCTGCTCGGTCAATCCCCTGGGCCGAGGTCCCACTAGCAAAGAGGACACGATCAAGCTGCTGAATCTGGATGTGTCTTATGCAGAGGTGCAGAAACGCAGTTCAATCTCGATTTCCTGCACCTCTCTACAATTACGTCCGGATTCAGGCAATGCCATTCCATCCTTTTTTTTTTTCTTTTTTTTTTTTAATCCGATCCTCTTTGCGAGTGGGACCACGCCCCTGGTTACTCAGGGCAATCAATGCTGGGAGGCAGTGACCTTATCGTACATCATTGCAGTCACAATCTTTTTCTTTTTTTTTTTTTCTTCTTCTTTTTTGTAGTGCAGTCACGATTTTCATTCTCTCAGACAATTTTTTTTCTGTACTATATATGGGACTATGGACCCGTTTTCCAGCAGGTAAAGCTCCCCACCAATAGATGGAGCCCCCCCATGGTGTTAGAGGTGTCTGCTGGTATCAGCACCTCTAAACATCCACAAGGGTTTTTTTTCCCAAAAATAAAATAAAAGGAACGTGGGGAGCGCTAAGGGGTCGTATGTTAGCTGTGCACTAATTCCGGAGTGTGACGGTGGTCAGGGCATGCGCCTTCCGCTCGGGCCCTACCATAGGGAGCACCGGGATTGAGCTATGGTGGAAATTGAACTTGGCTCTCCGTAACTTCGAGGGAGCTCTTCCACGGGGAGGAGTGATACAACGTTTTTTGGTTGCAGGAGGATACGGGGCTGGCAGCTTGGTTGGGAGTTAACGACGTTTCGAGCCATAAAGGGCGTCTCCGCATCGGACACGAAACAAAAAACGAAACGAGTGCATCTTCCTGCAGAAAATGGCCAGGTTCATCCGTTTGCTATACGTAGTAAAGAGTGTATTTTGCCACCTTTCATGGGCAGATGGACTCGTTTCGTTTTCTTGTGCTGTGCGGCGAGACGCAAAGCCTATCGAGAAGGAAGGCTGCGACACTACATCGTGTGTGGACACACCAGTGGAGTGATGGTATAACATCCTTACCCAAGACCAGACTTTTTTTCCTTAATACTCTTAAGGCGTGCAGCGGGTCTCGCGTGACGCTCCCACGGAGACCCGCTTTTCCACTGTTGGGAAAGTAGGCGGACGAATGGGCGGGCCCACGGGGAACTTCGCGAATCGACGGACTGGGTTTATATTTTGGGGTCGTGAATGCGGTCTGCGGAACTGTGAAGATGCATTGTGTTTTTATTTATTTTTTTGTGTCGTTTCGCCGGCCTAAGTTTCGTTTTGTGGAGTGCTGTATGTGGCATGCAAAACTGGCAAGATGCACCGCCGAACCGACTTCAGAAGGCCAATCTTGAAGTTCAGTTTGGTGGATGGCCGTATCTCGCGCAAAAAACTGGTTGAGGGACCATTTTTTTTTTTTGTTTTCCGAATCCGGAAGTTTCGTGTCGGCCGGTTAGGTGGTTCGTGCCGCGGCCGTCAAGCAGTTTGCGTGGTTCGGTATTCGTGCTCCTCCGCGCGGTCGTCGTGCAGTTTGAATGGTTCGGTGTTCGTGCTGGCGGGCTACGTTCTACGGTGCAGTCCACGTAAGCCGGGAGTGCAGTTTGAATGGTTTGGTGTTCGTGCTGGCGGTCTACGTTCTACGGTGCAGTCTACGTAAGCTGAGAGAGAGAGAGAGAGAGAGAGAGAGAGAGAGAGAGAGAGAGAAGGGCGCAATCTACGCAGTCGTTGGACAAATAGCGAGGGATCGGAGTGATAAGACGAAATACTCAGTGACGACGTCACTGGTGAAGAAGGACGGCCGGAGAGGAAAATAGGAAAACTAGTAGCCGTTTCTCTGCGCGTACATCCCGGGCCGATGGCGGATCAGGGTGAGTTTCCTTTGCACGTAATTCCGTTTTTTTTTTTTTTTTTTTTTCATGTATTTCTTCTTTTCCCAGTCTATTGTTTGTTGTCTCTGGTGTGTTTGCATGCAATTCCGTTGTTGTTGTTTTTTTGCATGTATTTCTTCTTTTTCCAGTTTGTTGTTTCTTTTCTACTAAAAAAAAAGTGATTGTAATGCGACGACTTCGAAATATCATTATCGAATCAATCAATCCAAAAAAACAAAAAAAAGGA